CTGCGCTGGGTGTCAGCACTTGTCGTTGGGATGCCACAGGGTGCTACGCCCCTTTGGACCTGCCACTGTCTTGGGAGCTCTTGCCAAGGGGGCAAAACCCACCGTGGAGACTTTGCAAAATGCAAGTGAAAGCGAAGAGCTGGCCTCTTCCTCCGGGCGCCTGGGATCCAGGAAGGTGGGGAGTGGCTGGCTGGCCAGGGCAGCTCCTGCCTCTTCTGAGCCTGTTAGTCTCTAAGGCCCCTGCTACATGTTCCCTCCACTACGCGGGTCGTGGGTGTGTGGTGCAATCAGTTTAGGCCAGCTGCATTCCCAGGCCATAAAAATGCCTGTCCAGCATAAAGAGCCAACCAGCTGTAAAGTTAGTGCTTGAAAACTCTTAATGGGTGGTTTCTGGCTGACTTTCATTTGAAAGCGTAGCAGGGCTTGAAGCCGCTCCCAGAGCCAACGCTAGGGGGGTATGGGGCCTGGGGCAAATCAGCCTGTGTGGGGTCCCCTTAAGACTGTGCAGGGCCGTGTTACCCCCATAAGGGAGGGTGGTCTCCGCGTTTCGTGGTGTGGGGTTGAGCTCTCTGCTCCAGGCAGGCCCTGCAGAAGGGGCTATGGCTGCTCCACCTGGCTCCACGGGACTCCACCAAAGCACGGGGCCCAGGGCGGTCACCCTGATTTGCCGTACCCTAGGGATGGCTCTGGGTGTGCTACCCTGCCCTGTGTTTTGCCTGAGACTAACAGGCCTATTTGTCACTGCTTTCCTGAGACTAACAGGCTACCCTCCTCTCTTCCTATTCACTGACATTTTATAGGAGCAGATTTATACTGGGGTCTCCAAAAGTTTCTGTCTTCCTTGTCCCTGCCTTGGTGGACCCCAGGAATAGCCTTTCCCTTCCACTGTAGGTGCCAGGAGCATGTCAAAGACCAGAAGTGTGCAATAGTTAGACCAGCCAAGGACTGTACTAGCAATGCTCCAACCCCCTCTAGGGCAGCATTTCTCAACCCATGAGTCTCGACCCAAAAGTGGATTGCAAGAATATGTTAAAGGGTCATGAACAAACTTTAAAAATGGATCAGCAAACTTTAAAAATGGACTCTCCTTTAAAGGAGACAAACATGGGAAACTGTGGCTTTTGCCCTGCAAGCTGGCAGAGTTCCATACGGTGGGGCTGGGGGCAGTGGATCAGGAGTGAAGGTCACTAGGTTGGGACTGGTCATCAATATTTAGACATGGGTCTCCGTACCAAAAGCCTCTGTTCTAGGGTACTGCAAGGTGACACTGTTTCCCCTACCTCAGCCCTGGCACAGGGCAGGAGGCAACAGTACTGCCCTGCCCTTCTCTTTCTGTGAAATTCACACCCACCTCCAGGGTGAGGGGAGGTGTTACACACACCTCCCTGTAGCAGCTTGCATGAATCTAGGACAGGGAATTTAACTTAAAATGGCTTAAACAGTCAGCCCCATGTAGTTGGAGTGAGTCTAACTGCCTGGGTTCAAAGCTGAGGAAGACTAACACTTTTGCTTTTTGTCAGTGGGAGCCTGCAATGTGGCTGTCTATGCTGTGGGAATGAGGCTTAGAAACTGAATATTAAAACATTATTTATGATCAAATATTATTCTGAAATAATTGATTAAAAATGGGGGGCTGGACTCGATCTTCCAAGGTCCCTTCCAGCCCTAATGTCTGTGCAGTCTGTTTGAGTCTTTCCAGCTCTGTAGTCAGTCATGAACTTTTGAATAAATAGGGACATGTTGCCATACTTTTAAAACAAAATGCAGGTTTCAAATCTTGAAGGGACATTATTGACTTGAAATCCCAAAGATTCTAACGTCAGAAGTCCATAAAAGTCATTTCATGCAGGACCCCTGCCATTGAATCTAGTCTCAATTTAGGTGCATTCTCATAAAATATTTTTATCAGTGTCTCTTCTTTTTTTATCGCTATGTGAGAAATCCAAGGAACAAAACAGGGAAATTGACTGTCTACAGTGAAAACAGTGGGCCATGCTGTTTACTTGGAATATTTCACTGTGTTTTGTCCCTAAGCTATTTTTTCCTTTCAAATTATTGCCATTTTAGATACTACTCAAATTAATTGTAGTTAAAAGTTTTCATATGGAAATGAAGTTGAGCTGACTGTAAGAGGTGTCTTGACTTTAGAGATTTTAATACGATACTGCAGCTTTTGCACTGCGGAATTGGGCACAACAACTTTATAGGGCTTTATAGGTTCCCCGCAGTCTAGATTATAGAACATTCAGGACTCCATCCTCAGTGGGAGATAAAACAATATGCCAGTCAGTAGCCCAATAGATTTTAAACTGACTTTAATTCAGAGAGCCAGATGCAACTAGGGATGAGTTGGACATTCCTGTTTAATGACTTTCAGTTTCAGCTGATGGAAATAGTGTCCGTCCCTTTGGCATATAAAAATGTATTGAATAAATTAGAAGTTGAGAGACAGCTCTGGTGAATACTGAGACGCAGTGCTATTGCTCCCCTGAGTGTCTAGTTTAGTACAACAGTATGAAAAAGGAAGATTAACTGAGCTGTGGCTATTTGAGAACTCACAGTGCAACGATACAAATTGCTTTTTCTCTCTTCCCTTTTTGCTGTTATGTAGACAACAGCAGAGAGGGCATAATAACATACATTTTATAACTTAGTAAATAAAATATACTCTCTCTGCTTGAACTATTTTTGTCTCATTTTAGCTGCTTTTATTTCATACCTGAAGCTGGTGAAAGGCAAGTCTGTTATTTATTACAAGAATGCACTCCAAATGCCAGACAAGAATCTTTGGCAGCTGCTATTTCATCTTTGCTTGTCTTGTGACTTCCTGCCAAATGCTAATAATAATTAGCTAAATGGGAAGAAGTAAAATTTGTAGTTCTGAAAATTACCGAAGTTGGGTTTTGTGATTTCTCTTTTACTCTTAATTTTTAACTCTTAACCAGTTTATATAAAGAAATCATAATCACAAGAGCATATTCTGTATTAGTATGATGGTACTATTTTATCAAGTAACACCAAAAGCAAATTTGGGAGACAAAAAATGCTTTTTTGTAAAGATGACATGGAGAACTTTTCTTAAAAAATGATTTTCTTCCAAAACTGAAGGGCACAGGTTTCACTTGATTTGTTTGGTAAATAAAATCACAACTGTAATAAAGTTAAAATAATATCGCATAGTTTTAGCAGTATTAGGACTGCAGTGAGCTGAAGCAACTGCTGCATAGTTGGGTTTGATATCAGAAGAGAAAAGAGGAGACTACTGTGGGAGTAATACATTGATAAATATTGCAAAGCCAGATTTTAAAATCCAGGCGAGTGATTAATGATAAACAGAGAGACAAAGTTTTGTTTGCTTGTTTTTTAAATGGAGCAGAATCAGCCTTGAGGCTATTGAGAGACATCTTATTAAGGAGACAGATGGCTTGCAGATCTTTTAAGTAGAAAAAATATGGGCAAAAGAGAAGAATGACCTTGCATATGGAATCTGCAAAGTCAATACTTTCTGGAAAAAACAGCATAACTTAAAATACAGAAATGGTACCTGAACAACATAAACAGCAAGATAATACCACATACATATGACTCTTCAGATCTGACAGTAAATCCAAGGGAGTGCCGAGGGGTGAGTATAGTGATTAAAATGAATGGGAAGTAGCAGAGATGCTAGAGAAAACTTTGCATTGTTTTACTCTTTAAAATGATTGTGGCACTGTAATCCCAAGGAAACATTCTTTGTAAAGCTAATGAGACTGTAAATCTTTTTTAAAAAGAATGATTCTGGCACAATAATTCCTAGGCAGAGATGCTGAGTACGTGGGGGCCTGAGGGCCCTGGCCCCCCTCAAGAAGAGGGCTATCACCTGAAATGCATAACACTTTCCGCATGTCCATCTTCTTAGGCCCCCTCCCCCTGGCAAAAATCAAAGTTGGCACCTATGATCCTGAGTAGAATGTGTTTGCATGTTCTGAAGCATATAGCTTAAGGCTTCTAGAGGGGCCAGGAATTTAGGTGTGGGGTGGTTGGGAACATGGCTCATCAGTGAAATCCTTGGTATGGAGGTCTGTTGGAACTGTGTGTTGGTGGCAGGGGTGCAAGTGATAGCTTCCTTAACCCCTGCAGCTGCTATAGCTCACTAGGTTCAGATCTAGATCTAGCCCGCAAGGAGCTTGATGGTCCAGGGTGAGTTTGACATCTCTGATACAGATCAGAAAAACTGAAGAGGGTCTGTGAAAAAGTGAAGAGGAAATTCTGAACAGGAAATGCTTTGGTAGGTTGGCAACCTAGTCTACCCAAGCTGCTGTCTGGAAGTAAAGTCAAGTATTTCTTAGTGTGAAGCAGTGGTTTACAACCTTTTTAGGCCGTGGACCAGCAAGTCACAGACTGGAAGTGACCGTGGACTGGCAAACTGCAGACCAGCATACCGCAGACCGGAAGTGGCCAGCATACTGCTGGTCTGCAGTATGCCAGTCACTTCCGGACTTTCAGATCGGCAGCCAACCCTTTGGGGCCGGGTACCAGGCTGTGGCCTGAGGGTTGGGAACCTCTGGTGTAGAGTGTACCCTGTTGTGGACAGGGCCCCATTGAATCTGGACAGTACTGGCATCTTTGGGGACCAATCCATGTCCAGGTGACGCATACTGTGCTTTGGTTGGGCTTCAAATGTGAACTAGATCTTTGTGTTTCTTGAACTTCAAAGCAGGAGGAATTGGTTGGCATTGCCTTACAGCTATGAACATCTATGCAATGAGTGGGAGTTATGCCTGACCTCAACACATTAGTAATTAATTCTGATGAGCTCACCAGAGTATTGTCTTAAAAAACTTACCCCAAAATGAAGGATTAAGTCATGGTGGAGTAACTACGGCATTATATGAATTCTTCAAATATCTTTTGTCCTTAGTGGTATGGATTTTACTTGGATATGGCTTGGTGGCTGCAAGAATTTTGTTGGGCGGTGACCATTCGTTCATATTTAGCAGCCTCCAAGCCTTACCAGATATATCTCCTTTTCTGAATTACCCAAAAGAGCTGCTTGAAACTTGGAATTTCATTTTTTTTAGGTAATTTTAGCACATTAAAATTTATTTATTTTTTAGAATTTCCCATGGAACAATGTCTGAAAATGTTGTTTTCAGAGACATTTTGTGTGTTAGAATTTTTGTAATGTTTTCCGGATTTTTTCCTTCACTTAAAATAATTGTTAATAGAAATGCAGCAACATGTCAGTAGCATTGAAATATATTGTATGTACCCAAATCCAAGATTACTTTGAATTTAAGATGACCCTCCAATAATTAGATTATATACATGGGAAATAATACATTTTTTATAATTTTCTATGTACAGAATCTAATTATTGGAGGATCATCTTAAATGTATCCCCCCTTGCTGCTGTGGCAGGGAAAGCAGTGCCAGGGAGCAAGTGGCTGTGCCCCTGCCTCTTGCCCCCCTGTGCCTGTTCCTGTCTCCCTGATGCCTGTCTCCCTGTTGCCACTTGCCCCCCATTCCCTTGCCTCCTCACTGCATGCCCCCTCTGCTGCCTTCCCCCTTTCCCCACCCTTTGCCCTGTGGCCTCCTACCATGTGGTCCCCTTTTACTTACCCCCATGCCTATGCCAGCTCCCTTGCTGCTTTCTCCCCCCACTGTTTACCTTCTGGATGGCTTTGGCTCAGCTCCAGTACTAGGGCAGTCAGCAGCAGTGGTCCCAGCCCAGCCTGGCCAGGCAGAAGCAGTAGCACTGAACCGAGCTGCATCTGAGCTAGAAGGATTGGAGCAGGAGCTTGAGCCAAAAGGTAACCGGTGGGAGGTGGGGAGAGGAAACAGCAGGTGACAAGGGGATGGGCTGTACAGTCTCCTATGTGCTCCCCACAAGGTTTACACCAATGGTCTCCCCTGTGCACCTCCTTTCTTCCACAGCATGATCTCCCCTCTGCATCCCCAACCCCCACTGTGTGGTTTCCCTTGCACTCCCCCCCACCATGAACCCTCTCCCCCATTTCATGAGCCACCCTGGCCCAGGGCAGTTCTGGATTCAGCCTGTCCTGAGGATACTGGAATCTAAGACAAAGTTTCCCCCTCCCATGTAGATTAGGGAAAAACGTCATCTTGGATTTGAGTAAATCCAGTAATTTGTATTTTTGTTGATATTTTAAAATACACACTAACTGAAAAAGAAATCTATTGCATTTTATTTTAAATATCATTAAAGGTAGCATACTCCTCACCATTGAAATAGTTTATTTTCAGTATCTCTTTTGTATAGTAATAAAAAGTTATTTTAAACAGTTTCACTACAGCACAAGCAAGCAAGAACTTGACATGTGAATCAAATAGTCTTTTCTTGCGTTTCATGGAACAGTTTGACACTTTAAACACAGCTCTTCAACTCATCTCTTTTCCCGTCTTAGAAAGAAACATTTCTTTTCTAGATTAATTATATTTTTAAAACCATAAAGAGCAACTGCCTCTTAGTGACTGAATGGAAAATACTACTAACATACATGAGTAGGTTAGTTGACAATGTTTCATTGGTCCTGGAACCACTACCAAAGCCTCATGAGCATTAGGAAGGAGGTGCTGGTGTTAAAATGTGGAACTCTGCGTAGGATGAAAGTGGGAAGGGAATGGCTCTGCAGCTAAAGGGGCAACCCTTGCTGAAATGGAAACAGATTTACTTTCAGCTTATTGGAGTCAAAGTTAGAGTCTTGTTCATCCCAATACAGTGAGTCCAAAGCATGACTACTACACCCATTACATGGATATTGTGCATAAAGAATACACATAATATAGAAACGGAGAAAAAGAAATTCAAAATTAAAGTTTTTTAGTTTTCCAAAATGCAGCATTCTGAAACAAAAATTCACTTCAAAATATTTTCTTCATGGAAAATTGTGTCTAAATTGACACTTTTTAAAAAGAACATTTCAGTTTCAAATAAAATAGCATTTTTTCTAGCAGCAGTATCACCAAGTAACAGCTCAAGATCAGAGATGCAGCACTTGGTGCTTGTTGTTAATGGCACCAAGGAAGAACAGGCAAAGACGAGCATACTCTAGCGTTCTGCCTGTAAGTGCCTCCCTAGGTGTGATTTAATGTATTGAATACTACATTCTTAGTTACAGTATTCCTAAGTACAATTCAAGGAGTTAAAACTAGTGTCTCTATTTTGTTTACCTCATTTCCTAAGAAATATTTAAGGCAGTTAACACCATTTGCAAAGTAGTAGAAAGCACATGCATCCATAATAAAAAAAGGTTTTCGTCTCTGCCAGTGGTATTAGACAGAAGAGCATATTTTCATTAATTGGATTTTATGCATTTACCTGTAAGAGCAGAAATTATGGGGAAAAGTTTATCAAATAAGTGTGCCTTACACTGTCATCTGAATGCCATCAAGGTTTGGGTTGCAGTGTTTCAAGAAAGGTTTCTTCCTTCCCTTACATTCTTATCCTTGTCCTCCAAAACCCAATTGAACAAAATCTTACCATAACAAGAAAAACAAACAAAGAAACCCTTGATCAAGAATATGAACTCCAAAAAGACATGTCAGTGTCTTGTAAACCTTCTCATATTGCTTCCCGTTTTTGTACTTAACATAATTAAATGCAGTGCTGGGAAATACTGCATGTGGGAAAGGACAGCCAAACTGGCATTGTGGGAAACTGAGGCAGGCATGTTTTGTAAAGAAATATTACAGTTTTCCACCTTCTTTACAGGTTCTCGTAGCAGATGGTCAGCTCCACCTCTTCATACTCCTATTGTCAAGCCTTTTGAAGCACCGACCCCAGCCAGAATTCCAGTAGGGGATCTTCCCAGAGTTAACAGGGACAGAGGAAAAATTGTAGAACTGTGGCCTCACATCCTCTGTTGTTCATAACCACATCAGTCAAGAGGTCAGCATCAATCCCTGGAGTCAGTGGAATTAAGTGTAAAACCAAAGTAAATGAGAACAGCATGACACTCTGTGTTCTAGGAACAGGATCTACTGATTTCACTCCCCTCTATTCATGGAAGCAGAATGGATCGTCTTGGCTGTGAATTAATTCTGTAAGGCATTTAAAAAATTATTACTACATTATAAATGGGATGTTGTATAAAATGCATGTCAGATGGTGGTGCTGTTCCACCAGAAATCAAAGCTGTCTACAGCTGCCAAAAAAAAGAAACAGTATCATTACTTGCTCAGGGATGAATGCTTCACCCAGCACTGAACTACAGTAACAAGTCCATGTGTGTGCTGTGGAAATCAGACCAAAAACAAGGAAACAAAAGCCAGCTTAACATTACTAGAGTATATTAATCAACAGAGAATAATTAAAAAGATATGGATATAGTCTATGTCAATTTATAAATATTATTTTTCATGAATATTACTGTAAAGCCACTGGAACTATTCACTGTAGTAAGTGTTTACAGGAATGGAGCTATAATTATATTACTTGGTCAGGTGTTCCATTTCACAATATTACTTTCCAGGAGCAAACCTACCAGATGGTAATGTCTAATCTATGGAATATGAGAAAATGTTCTCTGAAGTTATTACCCTATGATGCCTTTCTAAATAAGAATTTCTGTGTATGAAAATAAACAAACAGGGAACCATTCATAAAAGCAGGCACACAAAACATTAACACTACCACCCATAAACTAGCAGTCTGTATTGAATTAATCTGATTAAAGTCCTAGAAGAGGCACCTTAAGCGGTTGGACAATCATCTACATATACATATAAATTTATATGGTGGAATAATTCAGCAACTGGCATACTCTAATTGTTATTGTCGTTATTCCCTTATGAATAATAATTGCCTAAAAGAAGCAGCAAGTGTATGGTTTATGGCAGTGACATAATTACAGGCAGCTGAATTTTTGTTATGTGATGATAAAGCAGATGAAAGCATTAGTGGGAATGTATTCTATTGTGGGTCAGCATTTTTAATGGGAAATAAATACAGAGGTGTTGTGCTGAAACAGAAATTCAGCAGCAGTCTCTTTAGACTAACTACATGGGAAAATTCCCCTTAAAAGAAAAGAGTACTTTTCATACACTAAAAGCCCACTGTCAGTCCTCCAGTGTTGTTATGCCCAGGCTCTAGCAAATCACTCTTCTTAGCAAGGCAAGATGATATACAAGTGTCAGTATGTTACCATATTCACTCAAATACAAGATAAGGGTTTTTCCCCCAGTCAAAACATTTCCCCCTCATCTTATATTTACATACAAGGACACCTCATTAAATATATTATCCATCTTTAAACTGCTGCCAAAAGCAGCTAGTGCTCAGTAATGGAAGCCAACTATAAAGATGATTAAATACAGCCAACACTAAGCATAACTGTATAACACATGGCCCACATTGGGCAAACGTTGATGGGAACCTTTTTTGGTATGTGGCCCTTCGGGGGAAAAAACAACAAACAGGTGGGTGTTCCCTTTGTAGGAACTAGGCACCAGGTCTGGAGGTCTTGCAGTACCAGGCTGGTACTGGGAGGGCCAGAGCCAGCCCTGACACCCTCTCCTTTGTGCCAAAATGCTTGATTTTAGTCAAAAGACTGAGATGCTGATGAGAGCCTGTAGCAGCTAAAAAGTAGGTCTGTGTAATAAAAGTGCTTGCTGAAGGCTCTATAAAGATTAGATTAAGTGTTTTTCTGTATTTGTTTAGATATTAAGCTATAAGTTGTTGCTAAAAGCCTAATTATAGTTTATGATGTAGTGAGGCCTTGTATAAAGTAAGGCCTAGTAAATTTAGCAAAGCCTGGAAGTAGTAAGGCCCTGTGGCTCAAGGAAAATTACCTTATCAAAGGAATGCAAGGCTTATATTGGTCAGTCCAAGGACAGTTTAAAAAAAGGAATCTAAGTGGTCGTACATTATCAGTGTCTTTCAGAAGACATAAATTAGCTGAAATATCTAGAAACTATTCAGAAGGAAGATGCAGCTCTGAAAAGAATTAGTTAGCTGTTGCCTAGATCAGTGGCCCTGTGGACCTTGAGGAGCCCAAGAACTGCATTCCAGGGTCCTTCCCCGCACCCCTCAGATAGCGTTGTCCAGGGACCCCTGACCTCGCTGAACTTTATGGAAAGAGAAGCTTGCTGTGTATCAGGCATCAGAGGGACTGCCGATAAGTTGCCGATGCAGATTGGTTTTGTCTGTCATCATTTGTCTTGTTACTACACATAGTTGTGTTTTTCTTAAGTCAATAAATCTTTCTTACCTTTCTACCCACAATCATACTCAATCTAAACCCTCTGCAGGCAGCTAAGACAGGAGCCTACCACAAGGATAGGTTAGTAGAGCCTGTCTGAGTAAGATATAAGGTAGGACCTGTTGCACTCAGTCTCCCTCAGTGCTGACTCTTTTTTAAAGTCATGGTGAGCCATTACGTTGGATACATTTCAACTTCCTCTTCACTCCAGCAGTTGAACTGTGCCTTTCTTTCCTATTTCCAATTATTCCTATTTCTTCACCAGCCTTAAATGTTTGGCAAACAAGAAACAGGGCCCCAGACAGTTCACTCAGAATCCACCGGTGCCCTCCTCTGTCTCAAACTGTTGCAAATTATTAGTGTAGCCCTTCCTCCTATGAAGTAGAGGTGGACCAGGTTGCTATGCATCTCGTCTACATATGCAGTTTTGAAGCATCCCAGTACTAATTACAAGAACACCCAGTTCTAGTCATGAGTGCAGAGGGCAAGGGGGGCACCTGACGCCCCCCCGGCCCCCAAGATCTATTTTTTCCTGCTGTAGCAGTGGTAGAGGGGGACACAGTCAAGGAAACCTCTGATAATTTGATTATGTGCCAAGGAAATAACAAATTTATACATTTTGCATATATAGGATCTAATTATTGGGGGTGGGCATTTTATATTCAGGGTTATCTTGTATTTGAGTAAATATTGTAATAGGGTTGCTTGAGCAGAGTGCCCAGTAACTGTTCCCTTTTTTTCTGTTCTAAATGAATAATTAGCCCCTTCTAAAAAGGTTATGGATATTGTGATGCAATTTATTGTTTACTCACTTGGTCTAATTATTATCATCATCATCAGATTATAAAATTATAATGAAAGCAAAGGCAAAACTGATCATGTCACTTCAAGTAAGTTCTAGATGGGACAGGTTTTTAAAATTAAATAGTAAATATTAGCTCTGCTGGATTGATCTCAAAGAATTTGTCATCATTGTTAGCAATTATCTTTCAATACAAGGATGACAGCCTTTCAGTAAATAGGAAAGTCACTGGGGACTCCACAAATGACTGAGGAGGTTGATTTGAGATCCATACGTTCAACTGTAGATGTGGCAAATAGTTCCAGAAGGAACAGCCTACAGTAGTGGAAGAACAGATTTAGAATTACTTAGAAATGCTAGCTGCTTTCAAGTCAGCAGGGCCAGATGGGATACACCATAGTGTACTGAAGAAATTGGCTGAGGTAATTTCAGACCAATTGGCTATCCTATTTCAGAACTTGTGAAGGTCAGATGAGGCCCTGGATGATTGGAGAATGGCAAATATATTGTTAATCTTTAAGGAAGGAAAGAAGGAGGATACAGGGAATTACAGATCTGACCTTGATACTTGGAAAGATCGTGAAGCAGATGCTCAAGGAGCCTTACATTGAAGCTCCTAGAGGAAAACAAGGAGATCAGAAAGAGGCAGCATGGATTCTCTAAGAACCAACTCCCCATGTCTGACCAACTTGATATGATATACAGTCATAAGCTCTGTGGACGATTCTGTACCTTGACTTTACCAATGCTTTCAACACTGTCTTCCACAACAAACTAAGAAAATATAGACTACATGAAAGTACTGTAAGGTGGATACACAGCAGGTTGGATCATCATGCTCAATCCATGCCTTGGTGTTTAGTTGGGAGGAAGTATCAAGTGATATTTCCCAGAGGTCTGTCCTGGGTCCTGTATTGTATAACTACAGCAGGGCACCTTCTCCAGGGTTGGCTATAAGCCCCTGGAAACCAAAACAATTCTTTTTCTACCCTGCTCTCTCTACTCTGCTATGCCTTGGTGTATTTTATAGTTATAAAAGGGAGTCTGCCCCAAGGCTTTCCAGACATGATCTCCTGCTAATGACTACCAGGTGTCTGTGGTCCTTGCCTTAAGGGCTAATTTCATGGCTCCATTCGCTCCTACACCATGCCACAAGCCTCTCAGATGGCATCTTTCTCTGATCTTCTCTCTTAGCCCCTTCTCTGGGCTCTCAGACCCCTTGGTCTCACATTTGTCCACTTTCTAGGCCTTTGGACCCTTTGATACCATTCTACTTTTCTCTACATTCTTTGCCCCTTGACCCTGTACACCCTCCTGAGCTACAAGTCACTGATTCTGCCCTATGCCCCCTTTGGGCTACAGGTCCCTGGCCTCCCATGCTCACGTGACCCTTTGGCTGGGACCTGCTCTTTGGCCCTTGGATCCTCTGACCCCACTCCCACTTCCTTTCTGAACTCTGGGCTCATGGGTCCTTTGATCCCTTTCTTTCTCTCTACATGCCCTCGGATCCTCTGATCACACTTCTAGTCCTTTTCTGGGCCCTGAGCTCATAGGTCCTTTGGGCCCCTTCTCTCTCTCTCTAGGACCTTGGATCTTCTGAGCCCACTCTCAGTCCCTTTCTAGACTCTGGACTTGTGAATCTTCTGATCCCTTTCTTTCTCTGTGAACCTCCAATTGCTTTTCTGTCAGGGTGTGCTGCTTTAGCATTTCCCTTTCCATTGGGTAACTCACAAGGCAGCAGGGACTGGGGTTTTTGGACATCCCATACTCCTCTTTCCCTGGGGTTTGTCACCAGTGGCACTTTACAGGGACTGCTACACCAAAAACAGCCCCACCACTGTGACCCTGAACCCCAGTAGGGTACAATTTTCTGTTTTTATAGAATCATAGAAGTAGGGTCGGAAGGGACCTTGTAGATCTTCAGGTCGGACCCCCCCGCCTGGGCGGGAGAAAAGACTGGACACAAATGACTCCAGCCAGGTAGTCATCAAGCCTCTTCTTAAAGATCCCCGTGGTAGGAGCCAGCACCACTTCCCTAGGAAGTTGGTTCCAGCTCCTAGCCGCCCTAACTGTGAAGTAGTTCTTGCAGATGTCTAATCTAAACCTACTCTCTAATAATTTGTGTCCATTGATCCTTGTCATGCCAGGGGGCGCTAGGGGAAACCGTGTCTCCCCTAAACCCTTCTGGTCCCCCCTAGTGAGTTTATA